GAAGCGGACAAGGAAAACGAGGCGTCCAAGGAGCAGATTGTAGATGGTGATTCCGCACCCAACAACGGGACTGATAGTAAGGGTCTGCTGGGAGATAAGCCTCCGAGTGGAGGACCGAACGCGCCAGGTGCCGGTTTGTTGCCTGATCCCGGTCAAGGTGGAGGGTTGTTGCCAGAACCAAAGACTCCAGGAGCTGCAAAGTCACAACCTCCTCCACTTATGCAGACACTACCAAAGGAAGCATTGCTGCCTGAACCTGATGCAACCCAAGGAACAGGAGATGTTGATATGAGGCAAGGACCCCTGTTTGGGGATGTTGATATGAGACAAGGACCAGTAGTTGGGTTGTCAGGCCCACTCTTAGAGCCAAGGAGTGGTCCCATGAGTGGACCACCAATAAGACCAGGGCCACCCACACAGGAACTACAGCGGAGAAATGGGCCTGTTGTGAGACAATCTGATGGCTTTGGACAGGATCGTGATGAGCGTGTCTCAGGTGCAGGACGTGGAGATGTCGATTTGCGTCAGGAGCCACAGCACTTGGAGAATATGGGGGACAGGGAACTCCGGCAAGGTCCCCCTCAACGCTTTAATGGCCCAAGCAATCATTCCTTTGAGCGACAAATGCCCATGCAGGATGTGGACAATCGCAGGTTTCCCCTAATGGAAGCCGATGATGAAGGCATCCCCGGGCTTGGTTCAGAAGACCAAGACCTACGTGGTGGCCCACCTGTTCCTTTGATGTCCATTGAGAGCCCCATAGCAAGAACTCGAGAACCTCTAGATAGAGATTTCCGACAAGGGAACCATGGGGAGTTCCCGAATCCCGGCAGAGATTTCGACGAGAGACCACTCCCGATTATGGATCACGAAGAGTTCCCACCATTGCCTCACCGGAAGCGACCGTGGGAGGAAGAACAAGGACCAGGACCAGGGCATGAGGATCCAGAACGTTGGGAAGAAGGTCCCGGGATGATGGATGAAGGTCCTGGATTTGGAGGGCATGACATGGGTGGTGGAAGGGGTAGGGGCATGAGAGGTCGTGGTGGGTTTAGACCAGACATGGGAAGGGGAGGGTTTAGGGGCAGAGGTAGAGGTTGGGGTAGAGGAAGGGGAAGGGGGAGGGGAATGTGGTAGGATGGTACTCTACTGTGGAATTCCAAACCCTCCTACTATTTTTTTTTCCCCATGGTGCGAGTTTCCCAATTGGACTTTGCAACTGGTTTAGCTTATTTTTCTATTATCTTAGTTCCCTTTTGTAAGAAGTATGATGTAATTTGAAAAATACCTCAGTATTTAACCTAAAATCTCTTTCCCTTTTCCTCGTCATATACAACAAATTTCAAGTTTCATCCTCTGAAAAGAAAATAATGACAATCTGTTATATTAATCACATCGGGTTACTGGCTGAGAACTGTAGTAACAGACTATATTAACCAAGAAATACACTGAGATCTCATTCATAGTGTGGATATTAAACCCCTCAAAAAAGTTTGGTTACTCAATTTTGATCCATTATATCTCTCCTGTCATGTGATGGCCATTTCTTTGTTTAGTATCATTTAAGAATGTTTATCCCCCTTTAAAATGGTACCATATTTGTTATGATTTTGTATCCAAGGAATGAGCAGTACATCAGAATAAGGGGCAAGGTAAAGAGCAAAAATGTGCATTATACACTTGTGAGCACTGGTATTGTGATGCATGCACTACTGCACAGCAGCCCTTTACTTTCCAAAGAAAGAAGAATGCACAACCGGACAAGATTGGTTTATTTCACAACTTTTGACTTTTGACCTTGCCTCCTATTTTGATATAATTTCATGGCTAAAAAAATCACAACAATAAACTCTCTCATGGTAAGAAATGGCTAGGTAACCCCCCCCCCCCCCAAAAAAAAATAATAAATAAATAAAAATAAATAAATAAATAAATTGGGTTCTTTTAAATAATCATCTCATCTTTAGTGTCCCCTTGCGCGTGGGTCATAGAGGGAAAAAAGCAACAAAATTAATGAAATACAGTAGGCTTGCGGGTGCACCATGTGACGACGGATAGTCAACTTGTTCGAAACGTCGAGCCACTTCCGCCACTCTTCCTCTCCAAGTGCTATAGTTCTCCTTAGAACTGTAAGCTATGAAAGATAACAAACAGTCTTTTTCAAGACTATACCAAACAGTCCTTTTCAGGACTACAAACCCTCAAGAAAGATTACAGAGAGTCCTTTTCTCACATGGTGCACCCGCAAGCCTACTGTATATCTACATCACCATGCAAGTTGACACTTACAAGCATCATCAAAATTAATGAAAGCTCACATTTCTTGGGTTCGGTGATAAAACATGTAAGTTCTAATAATTACCAAAAAAATCAGCAACTGGCATTGTCAATTGTTGCTAGTAAGGTAAAATCTACCTGATCGCTTTTTTTTTTTTTTGTGGAATGGTCTTGGCAAAGGGAAGTGTATAGCTATTATCTAGCCTATCTTGCAGATATCTACACTCAAATTTGCTGGAAATCATTGATAAAATACCAAACGTTCTCGTACATATGTCTCTTGACACGGGGAAACTCAACTTCATTAAAATGAACTTTCTTCTGCTACAAAACTGCACCAAAACTGGAAACCCCTTTTATCTAGTTGAAAAAAATGCCTTATGTAATACATGTGTGCACATGTATTTCCTTCAGTATTCAAGGTTTCTCCAATTTTAGAATGTAGAATAAGTCTCCTTACATTTGTAGGAGGAATGATCAAAATGAAATATTTCCAGGTCGTTCTTTTTTTTTTAATCAGAGAAAAATTTGATTCAAAAAAGGTATAGAAAGGAAAGGAAAAAGTTGAGTAAGAGAAATTTTTGATTTGTTTGACAATTGAATATTGATGTAAATACTGTCAAATCTGTTCATGTAACCATTGTCGTAATCATGTTCAATATTTTCAGAATGAATTTGTACAGAGCCTTTTACATCATTTATGTTTATTCTGCGACTAGCTATCACTTCTCTGCTACTCATTTCGGCAACTATGACATGAAATTTGAAATGAAATGTTATCACAGAATAAAGAAAAACATTAGATATGTAACATGTGGTGCTATTTTGGACTGTTTTGTGTACATGTTGCACTGTTGCATTCTTAACTTGTATTGAAAAGGATAGGTGATATGTGGGGCAAGGTTATGATTATTCTTTATAAATGGTGTCAGAGGAGTCATAAGTGGACCAAGTAAAATCCCCCACATTTATTAAAATGTACCAATCGCCAAAACATGTTTTGATCCTGATGCGAGGGGTTTTGTGTGGGTATACCATATTCAAAATGTGAGCTTCAAATGTAACTTCTTCGAAGAGATATTGCAATTTAAATACATTTTCAGTGACCAGAAAAAATTCTTTGTTAAGTTGACATAGTAGACTTAGACCCCGTTTACAGTGAGCAAAAGGCTGGTCAGGCCGCAGCCCGGCCTAGGACTGTAAAAGTGCAAAAGGACAAATGCGTGGCCAATCTGGCCGCGCATTTGGCCCTGCTCTAGAGGTAGTCTAAGCTGCGGCCTGGACCGGCCTTTTCCCACTGTTGACACACGCAGGGCCAAATGCACGGCCAACTGTTACCCCGGAAGTGAAAGTTCGCCGTGTATAGGAAATTGGGGAAGAGATTCACTGCAAATTGCGCGCGACCGGATCTGCACTGTGACCCCCGGCCTGCCCTCCAAATAATGTTTGTTAAAATGCAGAGCGCCACTCTGACAAAATATTGAAAGGTTACAATTTAGGCCGCGGCCGAGCCTGCCACTGTAAACGCACAAATTGCGGGGCCGAGTAGGCCTGGCCCGGACCTGGCCCTTTTCTCACTGTAAACGGGGTCTAAGAACCTTCTCATCCAAGGTTTAAATCAGGCTTGAATCACCGATAGATTGAAATGTCTGAAACCTCAAATTTGCCACCACAGGGCTTTCATGAAATTGTTACGATTAGAAAATCATCGAACATGGCAAACACAATGTTGTGCGCTTTTAAGCATAAAGGGACGCTAATCCTTATGGTAATATTGGAGAGTGTAGCAAAGAGGAAAGAAAGAGAAGAAGTGACATGTGGAGGACAAAAGAGAAGGAAGGAAAGAATACGCAAAATAGAAAATGAGCAGGGAGAGGGAGAAAATGAGAGCAATGAAAAGAGAAAGAGAAAAATAAGAACCGAAAAAGGTAGGGAATTGGCAAAGGAGAGAGAGGGTCTTAGACTTGGTCTGATTTTAAAGTGCTGGCTAGAAGTTTTATTACAACTGTTGATTCTGTGAAGTTGATAGGTCTAGCTGTCACTTTGAACTTTCCAAATAATTACCAGTAAATTAGTTGTTACCAATGTCAAGTCTTTTTTATCCATTCACCATGCATGTACTATGTTGTAACATTCCACATTACTAAAAGCTTGTCAAAAACTGAATCCTCTCTCATTCCTTATAGGGTGTTTGTAGGTGTAAGCAATGTATTGAATGCGCCCTAGAGAACCATTTTTCAAAATAGAAGTTTTTACTTTTTGACCTAGAGTGCCGTTTATTGCACAGCACTATCTCATGGTCAACTGGCCAAAAGTTCATAACCCAGAACCCCTTACAGAGAGAGAGGACTCAATGTGAGAACCAAAAGCACAGCTAGGAAAGCAGCGAGTTACGAGCCACTACTGTTATAGCTGACTTGAGATGGCGCTAAAGGGGATTCTGTGGCAGAGCCATCTATACACAGAGTTTGGCCAACCCAGTTTGAGTTGGACACAATATGGCGACTACTGCTTTGTTGGGCAAGCACAAGAAAGGAATATATGCCATGTTGTGACTCAGTGAAATCAAGTTGGCCAAACTCTGTGTATAGATGGCTCTGTTCGGCGGTGGTGCTTCTAAGTATAGTATGGCTTCAAACCTAGATGTATCGGTATCTAGCAAATAAGATTCCTGAAAAATACTGCATCCATTCTAAAAGATACAAAACTTATGACAAATGGAATAATCAACAAACGGATTTAATATAGCTTGATAGTTTAATTTTGAAATTTGGAAAACACTAAAAGGTGATATTTAAATACATATATTTACAAATGTACACATGTATGAAAATAAAATTTCATGCATAAACACAGACATACATTAACACAAGATAGGGGCAAATAATTGAAATTTAGTGATCTCTTATTTCAAAAATTCATAGTTCTCTTATTGGTCCGAAACATTTTAAACTTCCACTATTCAATTAATCTTTTTTACTGCTTTAATGTGAATGATTACTATGTTTCTTTTCTATTGATCCCTTTCATAAATATATCCCCCCCCCCCTATCTATATGTCTTACCAATTTCTATGAGGATTGCAAAGAGCTTGAGTTTTGCTTAATTTATTTACATTAAATTAAGAAGTGGCTTAATGCCTACAGTCATTTAGACTCCTGGTCTAAATACATTATTATATAGGTCTTTGTAATCCTGTAAACAGAAGGAAATTTTAGAAACATATTCTAAGTGAAATTATATAGTAATCACCATACAAAATCGGGCATGTTTATAAATGTTGGGGATGCATCCACGAATTTGCTTCTCTGATTGACACATGCTGAAATATACAGCTTTTTGAAATTGTGAGTTCATGTTTTAACACTACTCTTGTGCCTTGCATGAAAAAGGGCACTTTTGCTCGACAAACGAATGATGGTGCGACATCAGGCTTCCGTCAGGTCATCGTTGAAGTAGAGGTGGATAGCTCGAAGGTACTCGTCGTCGTTCATGCTGAGCTTGTAGAACTCCTCATCCTCGTCCGAGATGCCGTTCTCCTCCAGCGTCTGGTTCATGTCGAGGTTCGCGCCCTCATATTTCCAGGTGTAGCTGGCCGCGTGCTCGTTCCACTTCAAGTACCGCTGGAGAATCTCATCCATGGTCTCTTCCGAGCAAACCTGAGGTGGTGGGATGACAACGATAATGATTATTAAAGGCATCGTTTAACAATGTTAAATCTGAGATGCATGGCCCTACGTGTTATCAGTGTATGTGAAATGAAAAAATAATGAAGCCCTGAAAAAATTGCGCTTCAAAATAAGTGCCTCAAAAAAGTAAAAATCCTTGAGTGACCGGATTTACCATACCTGTACTCGTTTTCCCTTATAGACCGTAGTGTTATGAAAACCGAAATAACAATAACAATATAAAATACAATAAGTATTTTTCTGACATTGAATTATAACATATATATATATATATATATATATTAGCAAATACATATATATATATATATAACTTGTTATTTTCAAGAACGAAATGATAAACTGTCATAAATACTAAATTTCCTCAAGCATTATAAAACATTATACAATTATTTGCAAAGAAGGACTGTCATTGTAAGCAGATTGCTTGATAATCAATTTCCAATCATAAATATCTCGATAATCAGACAGGCTTGTAAAAGCCATGGGATTCTTGACCTAAAGATTTATAAATATGATTGCAACATGGGCTAAATCCAGGATTTTGTTTCAGAATCTGAGGCAACGTAATATACAGAATCACTTTAGAATAACAAAAGTACTGTTTTAATCGGATATAAGAAACTGAATTTTAATTGTTACCTCTATAATCTGTTCTTGTGATGTGAGAGTGTTAATGACCTTGACCATTCTTGTCTTCTTGGATAAGATCCCAATGCAGTATCCCTCGTCTTTCCACCACGGTCTGCCAAAGTCATTGGCCCAGTCGGTACGTGGAGAAGGGGGCGGGATGTGGACAAAGCGGCCATGAGGCGAGTAGGGAAAGACGCACTTTGTGGCAGGGTCCACGTGCGTTCGAATCTGCAAAATGAGGGCGACAAAGTTGCATTTACATGTGGTACTGATAACGACTGCTAGCTGTACAGTGTACATGTATTTTTTTTCCCAGTAAGTATGATGGGAGTTTGTGCGTGCGGACGCTGAACAAAAATAAACCAGTCACTTTTGCCTTAGTATTCAACGAAAACTGTGCAAAAAAAATCACTAACAATCAGAAATATTTTTCTTTCATAATGTGTTGTAACATCAATCTTACAATATTGATCAAAAATATTGCATGTAAACTTCTTCAAATCACCTATTCAAATAAATTGTCTGGATACACAAACTGAAAGGACACACAACATTTGAATGTACAATATTTTCAAATGGATAATATACAGTGTAGACTATGATACTTTCAAATAAAATATATTGTAAGACTATGCCTATAATGAAGCATACAAGTCATTGGTCATTGCTTCATGTTCCCAACTAAATAATGACAACAGAATATTATGTTTATTTTTTTAGTGCTGGTATTTACTTCACAATACCATTTACTTCAAATGCTATTATTTACTTCACCATGGTACCTTACATTGACACACAGCATATCATCATGATAAGGGATAGCTGCTGAATGAGATTATCATTTCAAGCTTTAAGGAACTGATTTTTAAAAGCTTTCATGTAATTAAAAAAAAATGTTATGTGCATTTTAAACAGTGTTCAGAAATTAATTTGTGTAGAGAGATCTGGACTCATTTGAGGTGTACACTCACATCATTTGTCTTCTTGTCAAACCAATGAGAGATGTCTTTTCCAGCGCTGGCGACGACAGGCTTTAACAAAATGCTCCCTGTGAAATAGAGAAATGACAATTGGATCAAATAATAGAATCTAATAGGCCTACGCTACAAATGTCTTTGATCGACCTAACAAGGTTTAAAATCTGTCAAGGCAGACTCACAAAGCTGTCACAGGTTACAATTTAATCAGGTGTTAACCCTTTCGCTATAATTTTACACGGACGATCTTGCACAGGTCAACTTCCAATTTAAATTCTGTTTCGAACAGCATTAATCTAGAACTTAGAATATGATTCTGCTATCTCTAGTTAAAAAGCCAAGAATTATTGAGCTGGAACGCATCATTCATAGTCTTAATCTACGATTAATTTTAAAGTACGACTTGATCTAAATGGAAGAAGAAGGAGGAGAAGAAGGAGGAGGAGAAGAAGGAGAAGAAGGAGAAGAAAAATCTCTCGGCACTCATCACTCCTAAAACTCGTACTTCATCTATGCGTCTCAGATCGTCATCCACAGCACATCTTCATCTTGCCCCAGGCCCTCGCACCCACACCCGCTATGGAAATCGTGCCTTTTCTGTCTGTGCCCCCCAACTTTGGAACAATCTTCCCCATGAAATACGCGAGTCCCCAACCTTAGTTAGAGACATTCAAAAGTAAACTTAAGACTTATCTGTTTAATATACTAATGTAATCATATTTTTGTTTGTTTAACTATAAAGCTTTATGTAAATATTAACTATTATTATTGTATTATTGTTATTAAGAATTTGTTATTATAATTATGTATCATGTATTATATTCTTGTAATTTGTAAGTTAACATTACTTTAATTTTATTTTTTGTTAAGCGCTTAGAAACTTTGTATTAAGCGCTATATAAATGTAATTTAGATCTAGAGTCTAGTCTATTATTATTATTATTATTAAAATGAAGAAGAACATGAAGAAGAAGAACAAGAACAAGAACAAGAACAAGAACAAGAACAAGAATAAGGAGGAAAAGAAGAAGAATAAGAAGAAGAGCCCTGAGGCTGAGCCAGGTCGATTCGTCGGTACTCCCAGGCCCAGGCTAGTCTCGGGCTCCGATCAATCTACAATGGCAATGCACCACACCCGATAGCACGCATGAAATTCAGCATGTGGGACCGACATTAAAATGTTGCACTCACCTTCGTACTTCTCACATAGTGGCGTTAAATCGTAAACTTTACCCAAGAAGGACACCCAAATATCTTTAAGAGTGTTGTGCACTGCTACCTCGTTGGGAGTGTAATATTTAGGACGCATCTTTCCCGTTTTCAGCTTCAAATAAGAACGATTCTAAAAAAATTCTTAGTTTCAGCGTTGTTGCCAAGTTACCGAATACTATGGTAGCTTGCAAGGTGATTTTTTTTATTTTATTGTAGTAAACTTCGCTGATATGTGTGTATGTCGTGCGTCATCTTCTATTCAATTCAATTCAATTCAATTCATTTCTTTTTCCTCTTTCAATTTTTCATATTTACAACGATGGTACATTTTTACATATTCGCATATCATTATACATATAGATCAATTTGCACAATACAATATATTACCTCAAAAATATGAAATTGAAAATTAAGGGAAGGAGGGCCGACTAAAAGCAGAGCTTATAGATAGGACCCCCGGTAAAAGTATTATGAATCATTTTTTTATGAGGAAAAAATACTACAATAACAACTACTGATTCATTAACACAAAGATCCCTTTTTAAACGAAAAACAATGATAAAAAATACATACATAAAAAGACTGAACATTGTTGAGTCTTTTTATGTATTTTGATTGTCAATCAAAATTGCCGCACAAAGTCACACTAAAATTATATTTGATTGGGGGATGCAATAGCCTAGTCACTATTCAGAAGAAAATGGTCAAGTCTCCATTTGAAAATTTGTATCGACAGGGGCGGATCTAGCTTTTTGCTAAGGGGGGGGGGGTTTGACCAAAATAATGACGATGCGGAGCATCGTCCACGAGCCGCGAAGCCGATTTTTTTGGGGGTGTTTATTTGAACCCCGTAAGTGATGTTTTCCTGGCACAATGGAGACCATAAAAAGCAGTGCATGATAACGTCTTTTTAAATCAAGTAACAGTTTAATACATAGTTATATCCAGAGTTATCATGTGTTTGGTTAAGTTACCAGATGAGTTGAATATCTTCTCACAATATTATATTATATTATATTATATTATTTTGCACTTGAAAGGGTTTCTCTCCAGCGTGCGTTCTTTTTTCTTTCTTTTTTTCTTTCTTTTTTTCTTTTTTTCCCCTTTTTTTTGGGGGGGGGGGCCGCCCAAGGGGGGGGGGGGTTGCAACCCCCCAACCCCCCCTCTAGATCCGCTTCTGATCGAACTACACTGTATAATATCATTTGCAAGATAATTGGACCTCAATAGCAGTAAAAACAAATGTCTCAAGTTTGTGCAAACCAAATTTGCTGAAAAGACTGAGAAAATCTGTTCTCATATTAAGAGGAAGATGGCGATTCGTCTAGTCCCTTGAAATAAATGTTCACCCCAGTCTCGCACAAAAATCAAAATTGTGTTGTTGTTTTTTTGTTTCTTTTTCTTCTTTGGTTTCCTTACCGTGATATTTTAATTATTTTAAACTACAAAAAAAGTAAAATATGGGCCTAATAAAATTAAAAATTCATTAACTCTCATCCGGGGAAGGTATGATGGATATCAGGAATTAAATAATAATATTGAGGCATAGCGAATCTTTGTTAAAAATTCATTTCACCTCCCACTATTGAATAAATGACCTCCATGAAATCTCATACCGATTTCTTGTATCTAGATATTAAATCGAACTTTCTTAATTAACCAGCCCAAACACCCTCTTAAAATTATTTCTTCGTTTAATCAGCGAGGAACAAAGCCTACTCTTTGTCGATTTCCCCCCTTTTTAAACATCAATTAATTACTAAAACTGGCTGTTTTACATTTTATCACTTCAACTCCCTATGTTCCTAATTAGAAGATGAGATCTAATTTGGGTACTGTACGTGTATGAAGATGAATAATGAGTAAGTTAATCACTGAATATGCTACTAATGAAATTAATGTGTTCGCGAAAAGGATTTACGCTTTGTCGGCATATATCGCTTGCAGTATGCCAAAGTCTGCATAATTAATTTTTTGTATGCCTTGTGGCAATGGAAGTATGCCGACACGTGTGTGCTTAAAGGTACTATGTCCCATTTGCAGGCCAAAAAAATGAAAAGGTTAAATTCCAATGGCATTTGAAAGATAATACTAATTTAGAACTCCCCTTAAAAAAAGGGGCGGGGCTTGAAAATGTCTTAAAAGTGGTAAAATAACGACTATTAGTTGTCAAATCGACTTAGGAGCAATAGAGCTAATAAGTAATAGTCTTGATTTTCAGACCATTGTACTTGCATGGTCGTACGTTTTATGCTGCGCAAAGAACAATCAGTTTAATTTTGGCCATTACAAGAAGTGGGTTATTGATGTAGACAAATCATTTACAGCTCATTTTATGTATGTTATTACCAAAGAAGAAAAAAAGCCAGTCAGTCACTCAATACTGACAATAGTGTCTGACAGTGAAGTCTAGCAAGTAAACAGGTTTCCTTGTATAATTTGAATATTAGGACACTGCTAACGTTTACATTTCACAGATAAGACATACATGACATATTCATAATTCCTGAAAAGTTCTACACAATTTGAGGTTGGCTGCAAAAGGGACATAGTATCTTTAAAGTGCCTTGGTATCATTGTTAATGGTTGATAACAAAAGTGCTTAATTTGTGTAAGAAATGTTACTTATTATATTCCTTCTACTGTATTCACCCACCAACATTAAAGAAATCCTGAACAAAATATCAAACCACAAAGATATTAATGTTTTTCTTTGAAGGCGTCACTGCGCAACACCCTCTAACAGTAAATCCTCCCAACCATTTTTGAATTTTCCCAACCGTTTTTCAATGAAAATAAGACATTATACAGGCTTTAAAAAAAAAATTCCAACTCTTAAATGTCTGGAATGGTATATAGAGCCAATTTATTGTTTTGTGACTATTTACATTCACCTAAAATGTAATTAAATTGTAATAATATACCTGGGAGAATTAAAGAATCGATCAGATCAGTTTTCCCCGATTTTGTTCAACAATAATAATGTTGTTTTTTTCACTCAAACTTTCAGATTATCTTTAATTGTACATCTAGCATTAAAGTCACTACCTTGGCACCATTTTCTCTCAATTGAACAATGTTACCAAGTCCCTTTAAAGATCCCCGGTCGTACCATTTTCCGAAATTATCATTTGATGGAAAGCTCTGAAGTTCGACTTTTTGAGAGTAAATAAAATTAAATGATTATAATTAAAGCTCATACAGTTTTTTTGTGAAATCCTCCCCTGAATAAAGAACCCGAAAGGTATATTATTATACATAATTTAGTTGATGGATTCGTAATATATCGAGATGTCGCAAAGACTTTCGAGAAATCAACTCAAGGGAAGTTTAAGAAACCCTAATACTGCATTGAGTAGAGAATTTGTTTCGGGATTACGCATCATGTCATGAAATGTCGGCACATTTAAAAAGGCGATAGATTAAATTGGAATGGCTTAGCTTGATATTTTAAGAGTCTTTCCGATCGGGTTTCTGCAAAGGTCAATGCATTTCGTTTATAAAGTGCATTGAAACAAGACATGACAACCCCCCCCCCCCTCTCTCTCTCTCTCTCTCTCTCTCTCTCTCTCTCTCTCTCTCTCTCTCTCTCTCTTTTCCCTCCCTCTCTTTCTCTCTCTCTCTCTCTCTGTCTCTCTCTCTCTCTCTCTCTGTCTCTACCTATCATTCTTCTCTTCTCTTTGCTGTACTTTGCATCACCAGGAACCCCTAATAATATTCTGCTCGTACAGTAACTAATTGTTGTCAGGGCTCACACGATTTTGCTTATCTTGGAACCATGGCCAGTTCTGTTTTTAAAAAGTTCATATTTCTTCATGCATGTATGTTTTTATGTATGCTGTTTTTATTATGTATTCAGAACTTTAAAAAATAAATAATTAAATGAAATCAACAAACGGTAAGGTTTCGTGTTGTTTAATGATATTTCCTTGCTTTTGCATTTGATTGTTACTGCAATAGGCTAGTCAATGAGGGGTTATTTTTGTCGGGGGGGGGGGGGAGGGGGTTGATAATCGATTTCGGAAGGTTTGTTTAGCAGCTGACTATACGGTCGTGTATCCATTGTCAAATAACATTTATGTCACTCTATTCTTTTAATTTGTTAGAGCTATTTCTTTCTGCAATGCTCAACCTGAAGAATATTAGTTGATTTCAGCTTTCCACACGTTGTATTAAAGGGGCACGTTCCCACCAATGTAGTTATCGGAACATGCCATCTTGCGTAAGAGCCGTATTCTGTTTGGGCAATAGGCAGCTATAGCGCCGTCTGCCAGCGCGTACGTATTTTGAGCGCCCTCTGGAATACGGAGAACATGCCCCTTTAAGGTATTAAGATGAATTCCTACAAAGACCATAAATGTCCTACAGGAGCGGCTCTAGAGGAATTATCGGGGGCAGGGAGGGGGTTGGGCTTTGTGATATTTGCGGCTTTTGAGGTTCTTTCATTCATTCGATACATGTTTCCCGTGTTCAAATGCATTATAGTAAATACCATTTTGTGGGGGGGGGGGGGGGGGAAAAGGGGAGGGGTTGAGCCCCCCAAATCTTCCTCTAGAACCGCTACTGGGTGAATAATGAGCACAGTCATTAATGGAGTAATGATGTCTTGGGGGGGGGGGCATCTGTTCTAATAGCTGGATGGAATGTGAATGAGCAGGGTTAGAAATTGAAGGGCGTGCAAAGGGTGTCATCATCGTCTACTTTTTTAAAGACCGTCAATAATACTGGGCCAGAAGGGATTAGACCACACAGCAAGGTCACTGACAGGTGGCTATCTCATTCAGCTCTAAACTCATATAAGAAAAAGAGGATCATGGGGGACCAACAGGCACCGATTAGGGAAGTTTTCTATATAGAGAGAGAAAGTTACTACAAGTAGGACAGTGGGGCTTAAATGTTTTGTTTCCTCCCTTTTTAACATTAATATGCAAAGATTGTGTAGGCGTTTACCCATCATAATAAGTTCTACTGTCTGTATTTCTTCTTCTTCCTCTTTTTCTTATAAATATTCTGCTTCTACTTCTTCCTTTTCTTTTCTTTTCTTCCTCTTCTCCTTCTTGTTTGTTGATGTAATCATTGTTAATATCATCTTAATCATCATCATCATCTTCATCATTACTATAATTTGCATTATTATCATTACATTACTTTTATTATTAAAA